GGGGGGGGGAGGGGGAGGGACCTCTTGTTTCATCTGCTCGTTGGGCAGGAGTATCTCGTCGATCGGTTTGGCCTTGACGCGCTCGGCGGTGAGCAGCATGTCGGGGTAGAGCAGCTGCCGGATCCTGGTCACCGCACGCTCGATGCCCAAACCGAACCGAGCTGATGTGCCGATCACCTTCACACACACAACCACACACACACACACACACAGAGACAGAGAGAGAGAGATGTTTGTGAGTGTGTGTGTGGATGGGTGCACTACGTCGATGTCGGGGTATCGTGCTTTGAGTCGGAAGTAGAGCGAGTCGAGGTTGAAGAGTGCGTCCTTGTGGAGCATGTCGCACTTGGTGGCGATGACCAGCTCCTTCTTGGCCTTGTTGACCTCGAAGAAACTCTTGGCCTCGTCCATCAACACCTCGACCTCCTGCCAACCGACCGACACCATTCATTCGCACACAGAAATGGACAAGGAGGGATTGAGCACCCGATCAACGTTTTGGGGGCTGTGACCTTGAGCGGGTCTCTGTCCGGTTCTGAGTCTCGGTTCGCCACGTCGACCACGTATATGAGCAGCTTGCTCCGGTAGGTGTGCCGGAGGATCCGGCAGCCCTTGAGCTTATCCTACACCACACCACACCACACACCCATATCTGCATGTGACCGATCGCGATGTCAATGGGTGCATGAGCAGGGCGGGCCTTGCTTTGCTTTGCTTGGCCCACCACGTACCACGTGTGCGCCTTCATAAAGCCCAGGAAGGTCTGCCACACGGATGCGCACATCGTCCCTGACCAATCAAGCGCCACCCGTCCATTCATCCATCCATGTGTGTGTGGCGGTTGGCTGGCGTACCTGAATCCGATGACACTGACATGAGGGCGTGTGGTGGAGAAGGGCTCCGGGCCGATGCGCGTGTGCGAGCGGGTCATCGCTGCCATCAGAGACGTCTTGCCTGCAGAAAGGCAGGGAGGGAGGGAGGGAGGGAGAAAACCACACCAACAGCCACGACACGCATGGCATGCCACACGCCGATGACGTCGCCCGTCTGGCATACCACACCACACCACACCACACCTGAGTTGGGCATGCCCAGAAGGCAGGCGTCCGTCTGCACACGACCAAGCGGCAGCCACGCAATGAGTGCGTGTGGGACAGACAGAGGTCATTCCACATACGCGTGCGTGTATGTGAATGTGATGTGCTGGCTGTCGATACCTACCATGATTCTAAGCTCCAGCTCGAGCAGCACCTTCTCGCCCGGCGCGGCCCGGCGGCCGTCCTTCTTCTTGAACGACGAGAACCCCAGGCCACCCAAACCGCCAGTGGCCACAGTCAGCTCCTCATTGTCATTCAAGATCTGATACCTGCACACCACCCACACCCACACCACACCACACGGACAGACATGTGCCTTTGCACCCGACCATCTCTGTGTGTGTGTGTGTGTGTGTGTGTTGGTTCCTACCAGAAGACGCGCCTGTGGAGCTTCCTGCCGTCGCGCTTCTCGCCGACGGGGATGCGCTTGCGAATGATGGTGCCCTGAGGGACCTGACAGACACACACACACACGCGCACACACACGTGTGAGGGAGGAGGGTATCATCGTGTTGCCATTGTGTGGCAGGTCGGTCGCTCACGTAGACGGTGAGGTGCTTGGCGTGTTTTCCTCTGTGGGTGTCATGGGCATCCTCACCGTCATTGGCGCGAATCTACACCACACCACACCACACACAGGCAGACAGAGTGGCGGGCTTGTCTGCTGCGTGCCTGCGTGTCTTTCTAGCTCATTCGCTCACCTTTTGGTCGATTCTGAGGAAGTCCTGCACGAGGTGTGTGGACCTGAGGATGACATTGCCCCCGTGACCGCCGTACCCTGGACCGTGCGGCCGAATCGGCTTGCTGATCGATGAAGTGGAGCCACAGGCAGACACAGACACAGACACAAACAGACACATAGGAGGTGAGAAGGCACAGGACATGACATCACAGGGTGCCTGCCTGCCTGCCTGCCTGCTGACCGTTTTGCCAGTGGGAGGGGGCTGCCCCCGTTGCCGGCCTTGCACTCGACCCACATGAGATCCACAAAGGGCCGCTGGTAACGGGGAAACGACTCGGTGTCCTCCTGACCCACCGATGGCAATCAACGGCACACAGAGGGATGCATGGACAGATGGACAGATGGACAGGTCACGAGCCTGCCTGCCTGCCTCCCTCCCTGTCTGTGTGTGGACGTACCTCGGTGAGTGACGTCATGACAGATCTCGCCTTGCTGGTGGGATCGTCCTCCGCCACCTGATGACCACCACCAAAACTCCCCTCACGCACCGTCGACGGTCTCTCCTGCCCCTCCTCTCCATGAGCATCAGACGGGCACACATCGATGGGCCCCGATCGACCAGCCGATGCCCCCTCCCCTCCATAGAAGCGTATGGCGTCGCTCAGCTCGTCTAGGCCCATGGTTGCCCCCCTCCCATAAGCAGCCGCTTCCGTCGATTCGCCGTGGATATCGGATGATGCAGTCGCCCTGCTCGCGTGCACCGACATGAAGGGAGGCGGTAGATGATCTGGCTTCTCTGCTGGCCGATCATCTCCAGCCTCCTGATACTGCTGCTGCTGCTGCTGCGGTGGCGCCTCATCACTGCTTGGCACATTCCGGAGATAGGCCAGCCATGACGACACCGCTGTCCCGCTGCCGTGCTCCTCCTCCACCTCAGAAGCGTCGGAATCTGTCTGCTTCAATGACGACGCTTGAACCGGTGCGTCCCCTTGCCCCGAAGCAGAAGCAGCCGTGCTCTGGTGGCGGCCGCATGGTTGCGATGCTGACATTGCTGCCGTATGCTGCAGATGTCGGAAGGCCAGTCGGCTGCGCAGGTGGGTGATGTGTCTGCGGCTGACGAGGGGGGCTGTTGCTGTGGGGAGCAGCAATGAAACAAATGAGCAAGGCCGCTTGAATGCCATCGATGGAGCGCTCCAAAGGCAAATAAGGCAAATCCAAGGCGGTAGATCTTCAAGTTGACCCCAATGCGCCTAGGGTGCTCCCTGAAACCGCTGCCGCTCACCCGATGCCTCCCTCCCTCCCTCATCCTCATCAGAGCAGCGCACTCCCAGGCAGTTCCAATGCAGCCGACGTCGAGCAGCTCCTGTCCATTCCCAGCAGAACCACCCCCTCTGCCTGACGGTCAGGACGCCGCGGCGGCAGACGGCGGGGCTGAGTCTGCTTCCGAGTTGCTGGTCAGCGAGCACGGCCCTCTCAACGCCATCCTCGGCCATCTCGATACTGCATCTCTCGCCAGCACTGCAGGAGTGGCTCCTGCTTTCAATGCGGCAGTCAACGCTGTGGCGCACGATCGCCTGCTTGGGGTCGAGCGGACCCTCCCACCTGACCCTGCTGAGGTGCCTCCACCTCTTGAAGACTGCGCCCGGGCGTCTAGCACCTTTCTGAGCGTCCCCGAGCTGCCAGCAGAGGCGCTGCGCCGAGTCCGGAGCACTAGCGGGTCTATCAGCGGGTCAGAACGCTTCGGTCTCACAGCGGCCGGCCCTCCGCCTGCGGAAGTGCCACATGCGTCATCGGCTTCCGCGCTGCCCACCCCGCACCCGCAGCCACATCCAGCTGTCGAGTCGGCGGAGCAGGCATCTCCCCGGCGGCTGCTGCGTCCCGGCGAGACCGAGCTGCGTTATGTGGCTTTCAGGGAGAGGCAGCTGGCCGAGCCGGTCGCCCTGCAAGCCGGCCCGCAGCATCTCATCTATCGCCATCGACCTGACGGGGACTTCCTCATTATCGGCCGAGGCCTCGAGCTCCTTGCCCTGGGAGTGACGACGGACGGTGCCTCACCGGGCCGGCAATCGGTCGCTGCGGTGCGCGTGCCGGCCAGTTTTCCCGCGCCCCCGGCACGCACTCGCTCCATCCGCCGCTTTCTGTGGGGCGACTTTGTCGGTGCTGCGTCGACGGCATCTTCCTCATCACCTTCCCTTCCCCCTTCGCAGCCAGAGCGCATCGACAGCGTCACTGCTGGGAGCTGTCATTTCGGTCTGAGGACCAATCGGATGCGCGCCCTCATGGCAACTTTCACAACACCCCATCCCCACGGCCCTGTTGCCCGCAGCCGTCAGCGCTTCCCAGCCTCTCGACTGACCACACGTGATCAGAACAGCAGCAGCAGCAGGAGCAGCATCAGCCGGGATGTGGAGGCCCCTTTGCGTCTCGTCACGGAGCCCTACGTGCTGCACACGCCCAGCAGCCCATCTCTTTCTCTCCGTGTCAGCCGCGTCGTCTGCGGCATGGGGCACGCCATTGCCCTCACACACCCGGGGAATGCCTTCGTGTGGGGCAGGTGGCGGTCAGATCTCTACCCGCAGCCAGGAGGACGGATGGAGAAAGTGGGCGGCATCGAGAGCTACCACATCGTGAGTGCCGCGGCAGGGGACAGCTTCACACTGCTGCTGTCACAATGTGGGCGCGTGTTTGGCTTTGGCGAGGCGGGGTGGGGCAACCTCGGTCCTGGGCGACGGAGGGGCGAGGCTGGTCGGAGGGAGGAAGGGCCGCATGCGCATGAGATCCAGGGGCTGAGGAGGGCGGCCGGCGCCATTGGCCACATAGCCGCCGGCCATCGACATAGTGTCGCCGTAAGTGAAGGATAGACAGAAGACGTATAGAAGCCAAGCCAAGCCTCTGCCTGCTTTCATACGTCAGGTGAACATTGACGGCCGCGTATGGACGTGGGGGATCAACGAGTCCGGCCAGCTGGGGCGTGGCCCCACTCCCCTGCCTCCCCCTGTCCCAGCAGCCAACACCAACACCAGCACCCTCCCCATCCACACCACCCAGCCGGCCCCCACCCCGATGGCCATCCCTGTCCCTCCCCCTCCCCTGATGCCGCAGCGGAGCGCATCGCCAAGCAGCCGTTTAGATGAGCCGCAACGGATCCATATCCCCCTGATGGCCACAGAGCGAGTGGTGAGGGTCGTATGTGGGGGCGAACACTCGGTCGCGTGGACGACCGCTGGGCGGCTCTTCGCCTTCGGGGGAAACAATGTCGGGCAACTGGGGGTAGGGGGCGGTCGAGATGATGCAAACGATGCTTTGGGGGAGCCTGGAAGGCGGGCTCCGTCACCCGCCCCTCTGCTGCGGAGAGAGAGGCAGCCATCGCCCTCGCCTCCACCACCTTTTGTCCGATCGACGTCTAGTCAGAGCCTCGATGGAGAGGATGATGCCACGGCGGCCAGCCTGAATGTCGAGACGCCGACGGCCGTCCCCCTTCCCCCTGACATGTCTCGTGTGGCTGCTGTGGCTGCTGGGGGGGAGTTTACGGCTGTGTTGGATGGTGCTGGTGATATGTGGATGGCAGGGATGGTGCCGAGACGACTGGGTCATGGTGAGAGGCCGCTGTGTCTGTTTGAGCTGAGGCGGCTTCGGGATGTGGTGCAGCTAGGTGTGTATGATGCCTCTGTGGAGGTTGGGGGTGGTGATAGGAACGAGTCTTGAAGTGCAGTCAGTGCATGCAGAGGGAGTGTGGTCCGAAGGACTGCTCTGCTCTGCTCTGCGATGCTTTTGCTTGCACTTGACGGATAGTAGGTCTTGCTTCTGTGCCTGTTGTTCTGTTCTCCTCTTTGTCTGTGTGTATGTGTGCGTGGACACGTGTAGTGTAGTGTAAGATGATCGATGTGAGACGGAGAGGAACGAACCATCTGGAAGCGTTCGTGAGAATCGAATCAACAACTTCGGTCAGAAACAATAGTACAGCTCCGGCCGTTAACGAGAAGTGGGTGACTCACTCCGAGTCACTCGTGAATGCTAGGCGCCGGCGTCGATGACACGAGCGAGGCGGCGACTAGGCCACCTGACCTTAATCCTGCTGACCGTTCTGCTCAACGCCGCAGGCTCGGCCGACCACCACGCGAGGCGTCGTCAGCTCGAGGGCAAGAAGAAGTCCACCGCCAAGCAGCAGTTCGGGAGCTTTGTGTACGTGCACCCCCGGCCAGACGCCATTCTCGTGTCGCCCTTCACCTCCATAGGGGTCCGGCAGGGGCAGCGCATCGACTCTAAGAGATTGCACAAGGCGCTTCCTGGGCTCTTTTCCGTCGTCGGCAGCAAGAGCGGCGCTCACAAAGGGGAGGTCCGCCTGGCCGACGACAAGAGGACCGTGGTCTTCCACCCAAGCGGCGTGTAAGCACACACACACGCACACACACGCACACCCACACGAGCACCCCCGGCTTTTCGGTCATGTGACCAGCTTTGAGGAGGGGGAGAAGGTGAAGATTGACGTCAGAAAGGACGTGCTGCAGACCAAGCGCGGCGCCAGGATCGGCGGCTTCTCGTGGAGCTTCGAAATCTCTGCGCACTTCGACTTCTCCGCCAGCCGAAAGGCCCCCAACCAAGAAGACCAAGACGGCACCGATGGTGAGACTGTCATCGACGGCGACGATCCTGCAGAGGAAGAGCCGGATGAGAACCAGCCCGGTCCAGAAATGGACCTTGAGGAGCCCGCAGCAGAAGGCCCCTCGCCAATCGACCGTCTCGTGGACGATTTTTTCGGCCTCCCCGACACACACGCGCAGCGAGAGAGCATCGATGACCCTTATGACGGTGCTTATGATGATCTGTATGGTGACCTATATGGTGTTGACGGGGACGGCGAGGATAACAGCGAGGGACAAGAGGACATAGACTATCTTTATACCGGTGGTGATGGCGATGCAGAGGGCGATGGTGGCGATGATTATGGTTATGGTTATGGGTATAACGGTGTGGATGGCGTCATTACGCAGCAGGCGGACGGAGTGGACTGGTCGGAGTACAGGAACGTGCCGCCGGACCTGCCGAGGTGGCACGTCAAGAGCAAGCCTGGCAAGAACGCCGCGGACGGGTACATCTTCGCGGGGCTCAACCAGGGCAACAAGCGGAGGCACTACCTCCTCATACTCGACCAGGACGGGTGGGTGAGAGAGGAAAACAACGCAAATGAGAGAGAGACTTGGCAGGAGAGACATGGTTGATGGTGGATGGCTGATGGTTGTCCGATCTGTGTGTGTGTGTGTGCAGCGACCTTGTGTACTGGAATAAGAAAGACAGGTAGCTAGCTAGCTGCAAGCAGTAAGTGGGAGTGGCCTGGCCTGATTGTGGTGTGGTGCTCCCTATCTTCAGCTGGCTGGGAGACTTCAAAGTGCAGGTACAGTCAGTGAGCACATCAGTCTGGGAGACCACATCGATCGACATCGACACATGCTATCTGTCTGTCTGTACGTGTATGTCACAGGGCAACGGCCGCCTGACGTATTTCGACAAAGGGACAGCCACATACTTCGACGACGAAGACCCGGTGCGTGCCTTGGACGCCTTTGCTGTCTGTCTGCACACGGACTCTCTCCTGCGCTGTGCTGTGTGCAGGTGTGTGCGTTCGAGGTGGACCATCGGTATCGGACCCACTCCAAAAAGTACTGTGTGCAGCACGGCTACCGCGCCAACGTGCACGGGCTGCAAGTCAACCACAAGGGATGGGCGCTGATGATGGCCAAGGACTGGCAAAACAAACCAACCAAGGGAATCGACCGGATGCTCGGTAAGTCAGCCCACCGAGTGCCTTCCTCTCACTCTCTTCTGTGTGTCTGTTGTGGGTTTCCTTCTTGGCTTGGACACACTCACAGGCGTGATTGTGCAGGAGATCGACACTCGAGGCAATGTGGTACTGTCGACCGACCAACGGCACACAACTGACGAATGAATGGATCCCTCCCTCCCTGTGGTTGTGGTTGTGGTTGTGGTTGGTGTTTTGACAGATGTTCGAGTGGCGGTCGTGGGACCACTTCAAGCCCAAGCAGGCCGGCAAGCTCTCCCTCCACTCCCAAAAGAACCCATTCCACAACAACTCGGTCGATTGGGTCAAGCGAAAGAACGGCAAAACCGCCGGATACCTGGTCTGGTCAACACACACACACACACACACACGCACCTCTCCCTCCCCCCATGTGTGTGTTTCTGACACACGGTGTCGGTGGGTGGATGGATGGGCATATAGATTAACATGCGGAACATGGGTCTGATTCGTGTGGATGAGAACGGCGACACAGTCTACAGGTTCGGCGGGGTGAGCGCCTTCTCGACCATCAAGATCAAGAACGACCAGCACGCTGTCATCGACTCGCACGACGTGAGGGCCATCGGGGAGGACCGAATCACCATCTTCGACAACCGTGAGCCGAGACAGCTGAGACAGACAACACACACGCAGAGAGAGAGATGGCTGGGTGGCGGATGGGTGATGACGTTATTTCTGTGTGTGCGGCTGCGGCTGCGGCTGCGTGTGTGTGGTGTCTGTCCGTCAGATGATCTGTGTCACTGTAAGTGTGTGTAGTTTGTACAAGCCAGCCAAGCGTGTGTGTGACATCGATGGACGCATGGGAGATGGATGGATATTTGTGTGTGTGGATGCATGCAGCTGACTTCAAGAAGTTCCGGCAGAGCAAGAAGTTCTGCAAGCACCCATGGTCGCGCGCAGTCGAGTACAAAATCGACACCAAAGACAACACCGCCACCAAGGGTGCGTCGCGTCCATCTGTCTGTCCACCTGCACACATACCACACACACAAAGGGCGAGGTGATGTCCGTCCGTCTGTGTGCAGTGTGGGAGTATCGGCACAAACCCGATTACTTCGGGCAGGTGACGGGCAACGTCCAGACGGTGGGTGAGTCAGCAGACACAACCACAGCCCCACACACGCACCTCCACGTCTCTCTCTGTGCGTGTGTGTGTGTCAGCTCCCCAACGGCAACAAGGGCATCTGCTGGGGCTCGTCACAGGGGAGGGCCAACCCGCCATTCTACACAGAGGTCAGTCCAGTCGGTGCCTTGTCTTGTCTTGTCCAGTCCTCTTGGCTGGCCTGACGGCGGCCTGGGGGTGGGGTGTGTGTGGTCGTGTAGGTCACGCGTAAGGGGAACAAGGTGTTCGAGATGGAGTGGGTGCGGTGGCAGAACAGCGACATTTCCACATACGTATGCGCTTACACACTGCCCCCACACACCGTACCACCATCCCTCTGTGTCTCTGTCATGTCAGCGGGCCTTCAAGTTCGAGTGGCGGGGCGAGCCGAAGTGGGGGCCCAAGCTGAAGCTCACCAACGACAAAGTGAAGGGACACAGCGGCACTGTCCCCCGCCTCCATGTGAGCTGGAACGGCTCCACAGAGACCAAGAAGTGGCGGATATACGAGGACACCAAGGCCCCCCCAAAGAAAGAGCTGGACACCATCGACAAGCGGCGCTTTGAGATGTGGGTCGAGGTGCGCGAGGCGGGCAAGAAGTGCCGGTACTACATGGTGGAGGCCCTAGACGGCCGGGGGGAGGTGATTCGAAAGTCCAGAGTTGTCCAATCGGACAAATGTCGGTGACACATGTGTGCTGTGTGCTGTGCAGAGAATGCTATGCTCTCTTTCTCATCATTCTTTCTTTCCGCTAGTAGGTCTGTTGGTCAGTCAGTGTATTTATTGGTGCGTGATGATCGCTGCACGGAGATTGTTACAAATGACCTGATGGATGGATGGATGGGTGCGTGCGCAAGGTACAGACAGGTGCTGCCGTCCTATCATTTTTGGCTCTTGGAGCTTCGGAGTCCGTGTAGAGGGCATGGCAGAACAGGGAAAGAGGTACCATGTGTGTGCGTATCTTCGCTGTGGTCACTGTGTGTCTCTTCGCTCTCTCTATATATATACCTAAGTAGGTGAGTATATATTTGTGCAGAGTGTGTCTCTGTCTGCACACGTAGGGCATACGCTAACAGACAAGACAGGTATTTGTTTGTCTCTGGCTTAAGAAAGGATTGTATGGCGTGGCGTGGGGTGGCGTAGCAGCAAGCGTTGAGTGCATCTCAATGCGAAAAGAAGCGAAGTGTATTATCTCCGTGTGGTGTCGACTCAAGGTATGTATCCCTTTGTCTCTCTCTCTCCCTCTCTCCCCGGTGTGCAGTGCACACATGCGTGCCCATTGCCATTGCCCATGTGACCCAAAACGCGCTAGTGCATCTTTGCGAGGATTGGCTAGAGGATTGGTGCGGTGCCTTTGTGCCGGTGGTTTTTCAATGTGGCCCAGACGTACATGTGTCTCGTGTTTCTTGATGCCCATGTCGTTCAGGTAAGTGCAGTAAGGTAAATGTCATCGCATCTCACAGCACCCACCAAAGATGGTTCGTCCGTCAATCTCTTTATCCATCACCATAGATATGCACAAACAGCATCCTGGCCCCCAAAAACGGGCGCACGAGAACAGTGAGTGTCGTTGCCCCCCTTCGCCCAGCCTGACAAGCAAAATCTACCCCTCCCTCCCTCCCTGTGTGGGTATTGCTAACACGACGATCATTACTTCTGAGCCATTTCGACAATGAGCACATGGCCGGGCTCCTTGTCCTCATTCTCCAGAGCACTGAACGTGATTGCACCAGAGCCATCCACTCGGGCAGCATCTGGACACACACACACACACACGCACACAACAAAAGGCCCGGCTGTTGGCTGAGGGCCGGGTGGATGGTCTCCCTGTCTGTCGTCTCACTCACCGTGCTTTGTGAGGCTTTCCTTGCCGAAAGGTCCCTCCATCGACAGGGCGCCCTCGACGCAGAGCACGTAGGCCATCCGGCCCTCTGAAAGGGACAACGCCACCTGACGGCCGGTGTCGAGCTCAGCAACGTAGATGTGAGCATCCTGGTTGATCTTGATCTCCCCAGCTTCGCCCTGAATGCACACACAACACAACACACGTTGGGAAATGGATTGATTGTTTCGTAAGTGACTCCTTCATTGACCATTTTGTTGAGTTTGTCCACGGGCGACACGAGATGGGCGAGCTTGTTGTGGCGCTGGTCCAGGCTGCCTCTAAGGCTGCCATAGTTGGGCTGCAGGCCCAGCTGCACCGGGTTGATCCATATCTGGATGAATCGGAGGGGCCGAGCCTTGTCGCGGTTGTGCTCGCTGTGCCGCACCCCCTGCAGGCACCAAATAGATAACGAACAAATGAGTGTCTGTGTAGACGTGAGTGTGCACCACATCACATGCGCACCGTGCCAGCAGTCATGAACTGAACGGACCCTCTCTCCAGAGTCTCGGCCGTGCCCATTGAGTCCTGGTGCGTCAGAGCGCCCTCCACCACATAAGTGACAATCTGACAGACACGATATCAAGCGAGATGGGGGTGTTCCCACACGCACTCAGCAGAACAGAACATGCCTCCCGACTGACCTCCATGTTGCGGTGTCCGTGTGTGCCAAAGCCTCTGTTGGGCTGCACCAGGTCGTCGTTCATCACACGCAGCACGCCGTACTGACTGCGCTGGGGGTCATGGTACTCTGTTGCACACACAGATGGACAGAGAATGACCCCTTATAACATTTTCCCCTCCTTCATGTAGCTGACTGACCAGCAAACGAGAAGTGGAATCTTGATTTCAGCCAGTTGCCGTTCGTCCAGGTGGGATCATTCTCGGCGTTCTCATCATTCCCAAACAGAAGCGGGTCAGGCTCAGACACAAACAGGTTCTCCGCAGGCACCTTGAGGAGCCCCATGCCGGCTGCAGACGACGAACACACAGCCCTTGCAGGTGCTCTTGCAGAAACGCTCGACACTGAGAAGGAGCGGGTTGGATCAGATGGTTGAGGTGTAAGGTTGAAGGCTGCCGGGCAAGTGGGAAGAAGAAGCTTGGACGAAGCGGCAAGCGTGAACGAGCTGAGAGCAATGGAGGCACTCCAGAACAGGAGCATGAAAGATCTCCACAACTCACCTGCAAGCTCACACTCTTGCGAGCTGAAAGGTGTGTGGTGTGGGAAAGGTGCTTTTTAGTCGCAGCAATGGCGTCAATGCGTCCTCTGCGGCGGATCTTGGCGAGACTGGCGCCTCCCAGCTCTCAGCTGATCTCGCCTGCCTCTCAGCCATGCCGCATCTCCCTCGAACCGCATTCCCTCCACCTGACCCGCCAGCTCTCCGCCCAGGCCATCCCCATCATCCCTGGCAGCCGGCAAACGCCGCCATCTTCCGAGACCAAGAGGACCGACCGAGCTGAAGCTGACGACGACGATTCGTCACCAGCAGTGGGGCAAGAGGAGCCGGCAGGCAGTGCGGCCGATGGTGGCGATGGCGTTGGTGCTGTGTCGTTTGATTACGAGGATTGGCGTGAACGGATGCTGGACGCCATTGGCACGGTGCGGGAGGGCATGCGGTCGCAGGCCCTTGACGTGCTCGAGGCCACACTCAAGGAGCCATACGTGATTGCCGAGTTTATCCACAAGAAGCCAGGAGCAGCCACCAGCCATGAGGACGCATCAACCGCTCCTGCTGCTGCTGCTGCTGCGGCTGCTGATGGTGACAATGGTGACAAGACGCCGCAGACGAGCGACTCATCGCCCTCTCCCCTGCCCCCTGTGGTCGTATCGCTGAGTGAGCGGTCGAAGGCATGGCAGCGGACGACCCTTGCCGAGGCGCGCAGCCGGATGGGCGAGATGGACCTGTTGCGTCTTCGCAAGTCTCAGATTTTGGGTGTGGGTCACATGAGCAGGAGCCAGGGGAACAGCGAGTTCAACAACCTGCAGATGGGCGGCTGGTGCGCCGGCATGGCCTGCTCCATCCACCCGATCTTCTTCATCGGCTCGTTCTTCTTCTTCAAGCGGGCGGCAAAGGCCCGCAAGATCGTCAAGGTGCGCCACGACCAGGCCGACACGCTGCCCGACGTCAAGAAGGCCATGCACGAGCAGCGCCTTCTTGTGCTGGCAGAGATGGACAAGCTGGAGCGACAGATCCAGGAATTCCATGACAAGACGACAGGGGGAGTAGAGTAGGGGGGTGGGTACCTACCACCACGAAAGAACGCATTTAGATGGGTATCTGTCGGGTGGGTGGGCGGGTGGGAGAAGTGCAGTCTGCATGGATTGCGTCCCTGCTGACGTTTCTGGTCGGGCGGAGAGACATGTGGTGTGTCGTGTCGAGCAGACTCTGATAAGTGAGTGAGTGACGCGGGCAGGTCTCGCAAGACGTACGTGTGCGGTGTGCATCAATCAATAAGCATGGAGATTTCCACGTGCAGTCACAATTAAGGCTCGACCGACGGATCAACGAGTGCACCACGGGAAGAAGCGCGCAAAAGGTCTTTCTTTCGCCAAAAATCGCTCACACACTCACAGAGAAGACGCACTGCAACGACCTTTTGCTTGCTTCCACTCGCCCTTTATCAACACGCGACGCACGCGTATGCCCTGCCACGCCATCCCTGCCTGGCTGGCCTGCCTTCTCTCGCTCTTTCCGTCTGTCTGTCTGACGGCTCTGTCTGTCCGCTACACGGTTCTCTGCACTCTAGACCTTTTGGTCGGAGCTGCGTGTGGACGCGAGACTCCCTGTCGATGGCGCCGTGGTCGGCGGCTGATTGACCCGATGCCATTCAACGCACACAACACACACAACACACACAGCGCACTCATGGATGGATGGATGGATGGATGTGGCTGGAATCCATGTGTCTCTCTCGGAGACGTGTGTGTGTGTGTGTGTGTCCTACCGCTGATATGTAAGCGTGTTGTTGCACCACCTTTGCTACCTCCTCTTGCTGTCGACGGGCACGCTCTGCATACAAACAGACACACACACACACACGCACAGAGAGAGAGGAGAGGAGAGAGAGAAAGGGGAGAGAGATGGATGTGTCTCATTTGTGTGTGTGCGTTTGCTCTGTCTATTCCACCAGTTTCTTTTCTATGCGCTTCGCTCTCTATGTATTTGACGTAGGTGAACAGCCCCGCACCGCTCGCAGACACAATCAGGCCCGTCAGGTAGCTGTCCACACATGGCACACGGCACAGACGCATCCACACGCACACACGTGACGAACAAGAGATGGACAGACAGACAGACAGACAGACGTACAATGGTGTGAGCGTGACGTCTCCGAAGAGGAATATCCCCGCAACGTCGCAGGTGATGTTCTTGATGTTGCTCGTCACTGACACCTGCAGGGAGGGAGGGAGGGAGGGAGGCATGCGTGTGCACTCCATCCGTCCACCCATGGCTGCCTACGATGAGGGGCGATGTGAGTTTGGTCGCGTAGAAGGACGACAGGTTTAGAATCGCCGCAAGAGTCGCCTGAACACACACACACGCGCACATGCACAGAGATTGCACCAATCTCTGACGTCGTTCTCCTGCTTATTACCCACCGTGAACAGGAAGCAGAACTGGAATGACGGCAGTATCGCAGCGGGGTGCTGCATCGCTCGCGGCAGGTCCCCTGCCTGCTCAAACGTCGATCGCATCCCACCCACATGTGTCGTGTGTGTCTTGCTTGTGTGCTGTGTCGTTGTGTGGGTGAGATGAGTGCGCTGGCCGCCCACCAGTATGGCCCAAATGAGAAGGACGGGCGTCGAATTCAACGAGAAATACCTGCAGGAGGGCACGCATTCCCACACCACACACGTGTGTGTGTCTATTTGCGTGTATGTGTATTTCTGTGTGTGTCTCATGCACTGTCAGTACATGAGCAGTGAGTATATGTTTTCCTTCTCTGGAGGGTGCTCCGGCCGCACCGCCACGGCTGATTCCTCCCACTGCTTGAGTCTCCGTGCGTTGATCTCCGCCTGATGATTCAGGTCGATCTTCATCTGGATGGCATACGCTGAAAGACGGAATGAGCCAAGCAACCAACCACACTATGGACGTATGTGTGTGTGTGTGTGCATGGTAAAGACGAACGCACCGCAGTTGAAAAGGCATGTGAACAGGCCAAAGACGAGGCCGATGGCGGTGAAATGCAGGTCGTTGTAGGCGGCAACAATGGCGCCCACAACCTGAAAACAGACATAGAGAGAGAGAGAGAGACTGTGCACTGCACACAGATGGGCCGGGAGGGTGGTCGGTATGCAAGTCATACTTGCACTAGCACCGCTCCGATGACGCGGTTCGACGAGCCGATCGAGAGGAAGAAGTATTCCCTGCATAAACACACATTCATACCATCCACACACAGACACACAGGGGGGTCTGTTCTGTGGTGCTCCAGTATTCTCCCTCCCTCCCTCCCCTCTCTGCCTGACCCACCCAGCAATGATGCAGATGCTCCCTGCCCGCAGCATGGCGCTGTTGGTCGGCACATTCAAATATGCTGCAGACAGATATCCCCCCCAGACACACACACACACACACACACATGACCGTTCGCACCGATGTGGGTGTGAATGGCGTGTCCCCCAGGTACCGAGTGCGCCCAGTCCGACGATGATTCGTAGAAGGTTGAAGCCGGTGAGTGGGATGAGCGACATGGCGCGGGCGAACGTCAGAGGGGGGTAGTGCAGCAGGCCTGAATGACCCCCACACACCCACAATTCACCCTCACACCAACATACATCGGTGTGAGGGTGTCAGGGTATCTGTATGTGTGTGTATTATTGTCTGCCACACCCATCCTTTTGAACAGCATCATCGCCACCACTGTGAAGACCGTCTGGCAGAGTAAGATGACTTCGAACAGCTTGAAATTGAACAGCGACATAACAGCCTACACACACATGGGGGATCACGCAGCGCAGCAGAGAGAGTGGCATCACCGACACTTGATTTGGGGCGGTCTTGCTCACACCTTGTTGAACAGCGTGATGCCCGCCGAGATGAACAGGTAGGTCAAACACGCCAGCACCGCATCGAAATGCAGCAGCGACCCTGCATACACATGAAAGATCCATCAACGCTGTGCAGCAGCGACCCCGCCATCCTTCTGGATGTCAGTCATCGATCTGCCTCCTTCGTACCATCCCTGTTGTGTTTCTGCCGCACCAGGGGCGTGCTCTCACTGCACTGATTGGACTCCAGATCTGATGAATCCATCCATGCATCCATCCATCCATCCCCATCCCATTGCTGGAAGATCCCTGTACCCATTCACCTCTTTCCCTCTGGTCCTTCCCGGCACCCAACACGCTGCTGAATGGACGCGGGGTGCCCGTCATCTTTCCTGGCCTTCTGCCGCCTTGGTTAGCGCACCATGGCGAATTCCGATGGCGAATTTACAGGACTGGAGGTGCGGGGTTAGCCAGCTGGGGCCTGGCAGTTTCTCCGGCAAAGGCTGCGTGCGTATTCAAGCAATACGTCAAGCTTCATTCTCCCTTTCCTGAGTCCCTCTTTGGTCACCACTCTACTCGAGCAGTCGGAGGTGATTCCTCGACCACCCTGGGTTCTCTGACTCTTACAAGAATGTCCCTATCGCCATTGCGCCTGCTGCTCGCCACATCTCTCGCTTTGGTCGTCCTTCGTACGGCCTCTGCTTCTGGTGATGACCATGATGATGACCACGACGACCACGAGGAGGATGAGAACTTCCCGCTCGAATACAAATGGGCGGCCGCCATCGTCACGGGTGCGTGTCGACAGGGGAAGCACTTGGTCGCTGTCTTTGTGGCATGCACGTTCGTGTGTGATTTCCTGTGTGCTGCAGGCGTGATACTGTCGGTGAATAGTCTGATTGGCGCGTTCCTTTTGCAGTTCATAGGAAAGGGCGCGATTGGCGCGGTGCTCCAATTCGCGCTTGTCGTCCTCTCAATCTCTGTCATGGTGGTCAGTCACCCACACACCAACCAAATTACACAGAGTCACGTAACGACACTCAGTCGGCGAACTGTGGGAAGAGGGGTGTGTGTGTGTGTGTGTGTGTGCTGGTTGTGGGGGACAGAGCGACTCGCTGATGCACATTTACCCACATGCCGTCGAGGGCGCCCCGCACAGCCAGGTCACCTTTTTGGGTATCACGGCGTTCGTCGGCTGCCTGGCCGTGCTCCTTTTCTCCCAGCTGCTGCACAGCTTCCACAGCCACCCAAAGAAACACCCTCCCGCTCCTGCACCAGACCGCACACCCGCCACCGTCATGATGTTCACCGTGGTTCCCCCTGACGATGGAGACACGTGTGAGGAGAAGAAGGAGGAGGGCAATAATGCAGGTGCGGATGCACACGGAGGTGACGTGGAGAAGAGTGGCAAGAAAGGCGGGTTCGACTGGCGGTCGGTGGAGTCGTACGGTTGGGCGGCGCTGGCCGGCGATGTGGTCTGCAATTTTGTCGATGGGATCGCTGTTGGTGAGCGAGCGACCGACTGGCTGAGGGAGCGCGTCAATTGTTGACTGTGGATGGATCGATTATGTGTACGCGAATGTATCTGTCTGCTGACCAGGTGTCTCCTGGTACGTGGGGTGGTTTGTCGGCCTGGTGACTTCGATTGCCATTCTGGCGCACGAGATCCCCCAGGTCCGTCCGTCAGCACCGCACACAGAGAAAGACAGAAAGAGATAGCGCCTCCGTGGCGCATACACATATAGTGAATCCAGCCGCCAATCAATGCGTGTGTTAACAAACGGATGTATCTACACAGGAGATGAGCGACTATGCCGTGCTGCGCTTGAGTGGCCTCAGCAACTGCCTCGTCATAGCCGTCAACATTACGGCCTCCACTACTTCCCTCATCGGCATTGCGGTGGGTCTCGGCTTCTCGACAGTGCTTGAATCGGCGGTGGAAGACTTTGAGCGCTACTGCCTGGCCTTCACGTGCGGCGCCTGGCTGACCATCGCGCTGTTTCTGCTGACACCCATCGCCTTGAAGCTCTATGGCGAGCTGACAATGCTCAAGAAGGAAGGAGAGCAAGAGCAGCAGGGGGTGACGATAGAGAAATGGATGGCAATCCTCGTTGCCGTCACGATGATGGCCATCGCACTCGGTGAGCACACACACTCACACAGAGGCGGAGGGGCGAGAGAGAGAGAGATTCCCGTGTCTCTGTGTGTCTGTGTGTGTGTCTCTGTCTGTGTGTGTAATGTATGCCTGTGTGCAGGCCTCATGGCGGGGATCGGTGTGTTAGAGGAGACGGCACATGAACACGAAGACAACGGGCATGAAGGCCATGACCACTGATCGAGTGACACTAGCTCGACGAACGGAGCGACGGCCATGCAGCCAGAAGCCAGCTAGGATCGATCATGTGCCGTGTCGTGCCGCACACACACACAACATACACACATACATAGGTCATAGGCATGTAGATGACTGACGTAGGTATTAATTGCTGAAGGTAAGCAGGTAGGAGACGGAACTATGTGTGTCATGTGGCTGGATGGATTTAGGTTTTATACGAACTCTGCCATGATACATTGCTGGCATCTTCAACACCCAGAATGAAAATTGTCGTCAAGGAAAGCAGGCGTTGCAAGTGGTCAGTCGATGATTACCACTGCATAATCAATTGTCCATGATGCATCTCTCGGTCGGTCCTCCCTCCCTCCCTCCCTTGATTATTGAGTCAGTCAACTGACTGGAGACAGGCTGGCCCTCCTTCCACTGCCCCTGGCTTACGAGCTTGCCCTTGTTGTAGCGTCAGAAGGTGCCCTTCAGGAAGCGGCCATTCTGCCAGTCGCCGTCGAATTTCATCCCGCCCGTCTCGCGGTCGTACGCAACCCCCTTGCCGTGACGCTGGCCGTCCGCCCACTGCCCCTGCTATCTGCACGTATACACACACACACGCACGCAAAGCAGAAACAGACAGACAGACACGCTCTGTGAGTTGGAGAACTCACAGCCGCCGGCTCGGCACAACTATGGATGGATGGATGGATGGATGTCATTGATCGAGTGCTTCGAAGCACATACGGCGTCGTTGGCCAATCCCGCAGCCACCAATCATCGTGAGTTCTCCAGCTGACTGCACATCTCATGGGACGGACGCGTGTGCCCTTTTCTCATTTTCTGTGTCTACACATTACTGCCTATCGTATATGGCCATGCCATATATATATGCGAGCGATCTGCGGCCATACCGCAGGATGCTTAGAAGATATCTGTCTGTACGAGCCGTTCCCTATACACACCTAACATACAGTCACTCAAAAGTCACTCCACATCGTTCAGTTTAACAAAACCAACAAAACCGCCAAAACCATCGAGACTACCTCTGCCTGCCTCACAGCTACGCGTGCAAGTTGCTGAAGGCAAGTGCCGGGAACAAAGGCCGCAGCAATGGCGGCAGCAGCAGGGCGACGAGAGACCCAAAGCGACCGTAAGAGCAGGCGTCTCCCGGCTGCTCGTCAGGGTCTTTCCTCAGGTCGCCGATGTACAAGCCATTGAGTATTCTGTAGGCGTATGTCGAGTGGCCATACTGAGTTAATGCACACAAGACACAACCAACCAAGCATCTGTGGTCTGTGCGACTCTGTGGCTGGCCGCACCACTCACGTCGGCCATTTCTTGGGTGCAATCGCGGCCGAGGACGGAGAGAAGGGCGAAGTGGTTGCCCGGGTGGTCACGGATATAACTGGTGGCGTCATACACTGCATCAAACCAGAGGAGCCAACCGAAGAGCAAGTGACACACACACTCCACCAGCGAGGAAAAGGCGAATGTGTGAATGTGACCAGATCGTCACCTTTGTCTTCGTACACGATCCAGGCATCATCGGGCGTGCTGTGAAGCGCCACCTCTTCTGCCGAGTACAGCCCTGGACGACGCCTGTGTTTTCTCGCGGGTCGTTGTGTTGCTTCCATCAAAAGGATTATCCTCCAGATCTCGCGGCTCAACTGCACACAGCAAGCAGTATACACACCAGAAATGAGGCCTTACTTGCAAAAGGAGTCAGAAAATATGACATAGGAGTTAGGGTCAGATCGCCAAAGGGTTTCATGGGAGCACATCCCGTTCCCCTCCCCACCTCGATGCCGTCCTTGGCGTGATCTGACAACCTTCTGATGGCTTCGTCACGTTTTGACTCTGACACCGACCAGGAGCCGCTGCCCTCGAGTCTGCACTCCACCTGGACGGACACAGCAAACTCGCTTCGCACAACTTATGTGGACGATGATCAGCAGACTCCCGTGTCATCATCGAGCCACCGCCCCACGGCAGCCGTGTTCGGCAGACAAGAGACCGAGCTGAGTGACATCACCCTGATCAGCCGTGGGAGTAGCCTCACTGGCGGAGCTCTGCACGACTCTGCGCACACCCCCAGCCCCTCTCGCGGCGACCCCTCCCTCCCCCTGCCCAAAAGCAAGATCCGCACTGACGAGAGGGACGGACTGCGGGCAGACGATGACGAGTGGGAGGGGGACCAGCCAGAAGAGGACGATTACGACGCCTCTCCTGCGGCAGATCCCGCCATCGGGGGCCGCATCTCAACTCGTTCGCGTACAAGCGATGACAGCCCGTCGTCCGACACGCCCATCATGCCGCACAAGTGGGGCAAGGCGACGGGCGGCGAGTCTGCTGATGACATTGCGCTGCATGAAGAGACCTCGCCAATGGTCGAGCCTGGGCCGGTGGTGTTTGACATAGGCACTGACGAGAAGAAGGGAACCGGGCTCGCGAAAACGGAGGTGCGTCGAGGAGGAACAGTGGCGGGTCATTATGCGACTTCCCTCGTTGTCTGTCTGTCTGTCTGTGTGGGTGCGTGGCGTGAGGGACGTGCAGCTGAATGCTTTCATCGCCTTTATCGGCGCGGGGATACTGGACCTGCCCTACGCCTTCAGCCAGTCTGGGGTGCTGCTGGGCACTGCCTTCCTGTCGCTGCTGGCGGTGACAGCCCTGCACTGCATGCTGCTGCTGGTGGACTGCAAGTACTACCTGATGAACGAACGGCACAAGAACATCAAGACATATGGCGATATTGGGTGGCACGCCTTCGGCAAGACCGGCTCAGTTGTCGTGGAGGTGTTCCTGGTCATCACGCAGACAGGTCGGTGATGCGGATCGGATGGACTGGACGGGCAAATGCTGTCGTTTATGCGTGTGTGAATGGCTGGCCACTTCTCCCCCCTCTCTACCTATGTTCGTGTGTGTGTAGGTTTCTGCATTGCGTATCTCATCTTCATCGGCGAGAACCTGGCAAACGTGTTCCACTTTGTATCCTTCGGCGAGATCGTCATGTACTGCCTCCCACTGCTGGTCCTCCTGTGCTGGCTGCGCGACATGCGCCATCTCGCATGGTCGTCCCTGCTCGCCGATGCCACCAACCTCTTTGGCTTGGGAGTGGTGTACTTCTTCGATTTGCATCGGCTGGTTGCTGTGCGGAAGGCGCCGCCCGCTGTGGCCATTGCGAGGTCTTCAACGCTGCCGTTCTTCTTTGGTGTTGGCCTGTACTGCTTTGAGGGCATTGGTGAGTGAGCCCTGAATGAATGTATTGTGACACGGAGGCCCGACTGATGGTGCGTGTGTTGTGTTGTGTTGTGTATGTAGGGATGGTTCTGCCGATTGAGAACAGCATGAAGGACAAGCAGCACTTCAAGAAGCTGTGGTCCCTCAACATGCTGCTCGTGACCACCCTCTTCATCTCTTTTGGCCTCTTGGGGTATTGTGCGTTCGGAAGCGACACCGACGAGGTACCAACCAATGCACAAGACACAGAGACACAGAAGCGGACGGGGGACACTCTACTTGCCCTGTTTGCTGCCTGTATGTCAGATTGTGACGCACAATCTGCCGCACAACGTTATCTCGGTGCTGGTGAGGGGCGCGCTGAGCCTGGGCCTCTTCCTCACATACCCCATCATGCTAGTGCCGGTCTTCGAGATTCTGGAGGAGACGCTTTGCAAGGACCAGCGGCTGGTGGGGACATGCTCGTGGAAGGGCAACCTGCTGCGGGCATCCCTCGTGGTGCTCACGGGCATGGTGTCAGTGGCCGTCCCCAACTTCAACATCTTCATCTCACTCGTGGGGTCCTCTGCGTCGACATGCCTGGCATTCCTCCTGCCCGCCCTGTTCCACCTCAAACTGAGGTACGTCAGTCAACACACTTTCTACGTGTCTGCGACACGTGTCCGTGCTCTGTGTGTGTGTGTGTGTGTGGCAGGTGGGATGAGTTGCGGTCTTGGCAGGTAGTGCGCGAGTGTCTGTGCATCGCCCTGGGTGTGGGAGGGGCGGTGCTGGGCACCACACACAGTGCGGCGCACCTAATTCATCTCCTCGTCAGCGGGGAAGGCTAGACGGACAAAGAGAGCGGGGGGAGGGAGATCGACACTACACACGAGGATGTGTGCAGAAGGCTTGTTTGCTGGCCGCAGCGGGTTTTTGCGCATATGCGGCCGCAGGGAGTGTGTGGATGGATGGACACTCACACTCGCGAATGAGTGAGCGAGTGGTGTGCGTGTGGTCTCTTTTTCGTCTTTCTAGCGCTTGTCAGTGGCGGTGGTTTATTGCATCTGCGTGTGATGGCATCCACTCGGATGGATGGATGGATGACATTCTGTGGGTAGAAATTAGAACTTGTGAGTAGGGTTATCGTATACAGGTGGTGTGTGTGTCGTATCTGCCTCTCGCTGGCCGGCACGGCAGAAGTTGTCTGGGCATTGCCCTAAACCCTGGCATGCCGCCCCCCCTTCGCCTATCGCCTTTCGCAAACCAGCCTGCTTTCGTCACTGCTTCGTTGAATCGCCCCTATTTCGATACTGCTGACCTTGTTCTGCTGAACCCCTTCCCCCTTTTGCCGTGACTGTGAGAAAGTGTGAGACTGCACCGAGCTCGCGAAGACCCCCCCTCCCCTCCCCCTTTCCCCGTCTCAGCCTCTGTCTTGGCAATGGCCCCTCACAGTCTCCAGAGTTTGCTGTCTGAGGGTTCACCGCAGAAGGTGGGGCACCCCCCTGGCCGATGGGAGACCTGCCTCTACTCACACGAGTTCAGCAACGTCTACTGCGTCATGGGCCGTTCCCCTCTGCCGCCCATGGGTCTCGGCACAGGTGGGTGGGGAGACGCCGTCCACACTCTCACACACCACACTGCAGTCTGCAGCATGGATCTACAGAGAGGAGACAGCGAGACGAGATCCTGTCCTATGTATGACATTGTCGCTCATTGCAGACCAGAAGGTGGCGGGCATGACGTTTGGGGATCAGTACGTTCACTTCTTCCCCGGACCGACGGGATCCGGCGGCCTTTTCGGAGGCAAGGCCGGCGAGGGATACCGATTTCTCTTCGACTGGGTTTTTGCTCCAGGTAGACAGACAGAGGCGAAGAGACAGACAGAGGAGGAGAGAGGAGAGGGACGCACACAGAGAGATCGATCGCTGCATTGGCTGGCGTTTGTGCGTCCCTCTCTCTGCTGTGCTGTGCAGCCACGACCCAGGAAGCAGTGTACAAGAAGGCTGCGGAGACGCGTGTGCGGGACTTCTACTTCAATATCCAGACAAACGTGTTCATCGCCTTCGGGCCCCCAAACAGCGGCAAGACGTTCGGCATGACCGGTGAGTCAGTGCACAGTGCGTGGGGGGGTTGGATGGCCACGCACCTCTCTCACACTGACATCCGTCTGGGTCATGACTGCGATCGATGCTTGCAGGCGGCCCTGGGTCAGTGGACCACCGCGGCCTCATCCCCCGGGCCATCTCGACCCTCTTCTCATTGGCACACAACAAGCCCCGGATCCACCTGGGCATCAGGACGGAACGAGTCAAGGTTGAGGAGATGCACGACAGCGAGTTCGGCTACGAGCCGCCCATCTTCCCCTGCCCCAAGCGATTCCTCGCCAAGCTCCCAAGACACTGTGATGTCTCGTTCGGCATTTCCTTCTTTGAGATCTTCCGGGGGGAGGTGCTTGACCTCCTCGACGGCGGCAAACCGGTGAGTGGCGAGGGGCAGACAGAGAGGCTGGCAGAGAGGACAGGCGAGGCATATTTCCCTGTGTGTGTTTTCTTGCACTAGGTGTCGATTCGGGAGAGGGAGTGCCCCATCGGATGGTATGACGAGATCAAGCATCGGTCGCTGGACCTAGAGGGTCTGACAGAGGTGGAAGTGTTCTCGGAGTCGGATGCGTACGAGCTCATCTTCAAAGGAGACGCGGCCAAGTAACCACACACCGCACGCCCCCCCCCCCTCCCTATGGTTTATGTCTCCGGCGCTTCTCTCTCTCAGACACGTTGAGAAGGAGACCGATTATGTGGACACCAACCCTTCACGGAGCCACACCATCTTCGCCGTAAGGAAGGCCACAGGACACAGGACACAGGACACATCAACTTTATGACTCCCGATCCCCTGGTGTTGGGCAGATAACGATGCGCGAGAGGGGTTTTCCCGGCCGCCACGCCGTCATGTACTTCATCGACCTGGCCTCGCCCGTCAGCACCGCCACACCCACCGGAAGGGCCGCTCACGGGCTGGCGCAGGGCAGCATCAACGCAAGCATCGTCAAGTCGTGGGACGCAATCAAGTAACCACACACCCAGCACCCATCCAGCAGTGGAGACAAACCCCAATTATAAATGGACGTGTTGTATTGTCTTGTGTGTCTCATGGCATCCATCAGGTCGATGATGGAATATGGGCTGAATCGGTTCAGGAACATCAACGATGACAAGGGGAGGCCCGTGGCGCCGTGCGAGGTCATGACGAGCGAGGGCATGAAGTGGGTGAAGCTCGAGGACCCCTCGCCCAGCACGGTCCGCCATCACTCCAGGAGCAGACGGGGCGGCTCCCGCGGCCGAAGGCGGTGGTTCTACAAGACATCTGCCATTTCGCTGATCCTCCGACCCTTGTTCGAAAACTACTTCGAGTGAGCCCCTTTCCTCTCACCCTCACACACATAGAGACATGTCTCCCCGCGTCTGTCTGTGTTGCAGTATTGTGTGGACGCCGATTCTCTACCTCAACTACGACCACAGAGACCTGCACCGCTGCATCAGGGAGAGCGTCTCGTGGTCCATGACGAGCCGCGCCATCTACAAGGGGCTCTGCATGTTCCCCGCCCACCCCGACCCCGCCGAAATCATGAACACGCTGGACCACCAATATGAGAAGAGGGAGGCCAATCGGATGAGGGAACTCAGGGAGAAGTGCGCCGCCAAGGGCAAGAAAGAGATAACCAGCTCGGCCAGCTGCAGCGCCTCCAGCAGCCGATCCCCGTCACCGCCCAAACGGAGGGGGGAGAAGGAGAAGGCCTCCACCTCTGTCAAGAAGGCACCACCGTCGGGTGGCCTGGCTGCCTCGCCACCGGCGGCAGCAGCGGCAGCAGCAGCAGCCACAAAGAAAGCGGCGATCTTCTCCCACGATGACGAGCTCGTGAACTCCATCGCGGATGACGGCGGCAACGAGTCACCGATGGGACGGCCTCCCGCGTTTGTGTCCCAAAAGGCGGTCCCCCCCACCCCGCCGCCGGTCGTATACATGAACGAAATGGAAAATCACATGGCTCCTTCGGCTCCGCGAGTGGTCGTGAGGGCTTCCACGGGCGAGTGCGGCGCAGAGATGTCGAGGACTCAGTCTACAAGGCCGTCCACGTTTTTCCAGGTAGGAGAGGAGACACCAACCACAGATCATTGATAGGAATGGCGTATCGATGTGGTGTGGATTGTGTGCCTGTTGCAGACCAATTCGCGCAACGGCAGTGACGAGAACCTTTTCGACCCTCCCTCGGTGAAGGAGCCGCCCCCTCCCCGGCGCACCAAGCTGCCCAGACGGTACCTCACCCGGCCCCCACTGCCACTGCCCTACCCAAAGCTGAACCTGCGCCTCACCTCACCCCGCTTCGACTCGCCGAGAGACACAACCACCCCTCCCAAAGCACAAGCATCCCACCACCACCAGCCGCAACAGCAGCCCATCCTTACCGTTGACTCGGGCGTGCAGACGGTGTCTGATGCTGCGACGGAGATCTTTCTGGTGGGCAAGGAGGACAAGGCCGTGCTGGCGGCTGTGGACCGTTTCCCTGTTTACAATCGCAACGGGCAGGGAACCTCACCCACTCGGCCGCGGCAGCCAGCGGTGGACAAGGGTGTTGCTGGAGAGGGGGAGAGGGACAAAGGGACAGAGAGAGAGAAGGACAAGACGCCCCAACCTACTGCAGCTGCTGTCGGTGGTGAGTTGTGCAGCCGTCACCAGCAGTCAGACAGCCTGCGGCTGTCCCCGCCTGTGAGACACCGTGATGTATCGCCACCCAAGGCGCACAAGATGACAGTCGAGGTGTGCTGTGCATGTTCAGACACCCACCATACCATACACACAGAGCAAGACACGCACCTTTTCTTTTGTAGGTTCGCGAGGCAGCGAGGGCTCGTTCGCCGCCGAGGCACTTCAAGGCCCCTCCGCCCCCCTCCTCACTCGCCAACAAGAGCCGGCCGCCCAACTCACCCGACATCGACTCATCATCCACCCGCCGCTCCAGCAACTTGCAGCGCCGCCCGCCCATTCCAAGGTTCGCACCGAATGCTTCGAGGCCGTCACGGGACCGAGGCAACCAAAGCCCCAAGAGAGGGACGGGCGTGACTGCCAAGGCTGCCGCCGAGACCGTTGAGAAGACAAAGGAGGATCATATGCCGCCGGACAAAGGAGAGGAGAAGAGCCACAAGATGGAGAGGAAGGAGGAGGAAAGTCCGTCGGCCAAGGATGAGAAGCCTGCTGCTGCTCCAGTGAGCCCCCCGACCATCGTGTACGCCAAGTCGAGCTCCGGCGCGGTGCTTTCCCCGTTGATGTACCAGCCGTCCACTAGTGCCCTGCTCACTCCGCCGTTCACGCCTCCGGTGGTCCTCACCCACCACCCTGCAGTGGTCACCATCACACCGAAGAGGGCCCCGCCCACGCCCCCATTCCTCACACACGGCCCTCAGGCGCCGCCACGCGGAATGCGCCGGGACAGGAGGGTGCTGGCGCCTCGACGAGAGGCGGGATTCTGGTCGCCCCCGGCGATACTTGAATCGAGCCACGGTGGGATGGTGACGCCTTTGCCGCCCCGGCCTATGACGCCGATCTCGCGGTTCCCCCAGCCCAGCCCGCCGAGGATGATACAGGTCGACCCGAGGTTGATGAGCTTTGCGATTCCGAAGAAGGCGCCACCCCCACCCCAACTCCCGCCTCAGCTGACGGCGAACCATGGCAATACTGTGGTGTACCGACCTCTGCAGCCGCCTAGTGGCATGCCAACCGTCGCGCCGCCTGGGGTGCATCCTCCTGCTGTCCTTGTGGCACCGCCAGCGAATCATGTTCAACTGGAGGGAGGGAGGAAGCCCGGCCCGGTGCCGCCTGTTGTGGCGCGGGAGAGAGGTGTGTATGTGTCTCGAGTGCCCGCGAAAGTGCCGCAGCCACACCAGCCGAAAGCCCCACTTGTGAATCCTCCTAACAGAGCCCCGCTTCGTCCGTTCCCCGCCCCAGGTGTTGTGCACGCGCCACCTGCTGCTGCCATGATCGCCAAGAATGCCAGTCATGGCCGTTTTGTTGCTGCACCTGGCCCTAGGAGGGACACCAGGCGACAGCAAACGGTGAGCGAGACAGATGTGCGCGTACCGTACTTGACAGGCAGGTCATATTGGTGTGTGCCTGTGTGTCTGCTGTGGTGTGGTGTGGTGTGTCTGCCATCTGAATCGTCGATCAGGCGGCGCCTCCGCCCATTGCAGCACGGCAGTGGCCCCCCGTGTCTCGCCAGGTCATCATGGCCACACCACCCCAAGCACCGTTGAAGAAAGCCGCACCCCCACCGCCCCCGCCAGCACCAGCATATCACATACCCGCGGCGGTGCCGTACCCCTACTCACACCCACACCCAGCCCCTGCAGCTGCGGCTGTGGTTGGCCGACGGCCGATGGGTGGTGCCGCCGTGCGTCAGGCGCCCATTGCCGGCTGGCGGTGACAGACGTTAAATGTTGCATGGTAGGGGCGTCGGCTGGGGCGGGGGATGGAGGCGCGCGTCCATGCATCTCTTGCGTGTGTCTGTCTGGTGTGGTGTGTGTCGATCAGGAACCAACCGACTTTGTGGCGTGTGTGTATGGTTGGCTGGCTGTACGTTCCTGTATGGCTCCCATGCGTCTGACTCGCAATTTTCGACTGCCTGCCAGTGAGTGAGACAGACCATTGAGTGACCGAACGACAAGAGTCGATCGAGATGAAAGCTATATGCAGAGACATACAACAACTTCAGGCAGGCGAACAGACAGACAGGCAGACAGGCCGACGGCCGCCTGTCCCCCCCTCCCCCCCCGGCCAGCAACGAACACCGAAAAAGTCTATCTACTGGTACAAAACACACACGAGACTGCCTGCCTTGCGCACACTGGACGGACGACACGAGGAGAAAGACAGACAGGCACTCACTGGTTGACAAACAAACAGACGAGGAAGCAGAACAGAGGACAGCGCACAATGAATGCATCGTCGCCGAGCACACAGACATCCGGACGCTGTTCTTTGTGTGGAGTGGATGTGTGGACGCCCGTCGGTCGATCATGGCCTGTGCGATCTCCTGTCCTGCCTCGAGAGCTCCGCGTCGCTCAGCAGCGACACCGACTGCACGATGCCCGTCAGAGCAACAAACCCCCACAGCTGCTGCACATCTGATGCACACACACACACAGGGAGAGAGAGAGAGAGAGAGAGGTGCAGGCATGTGACTGACCCTTGTGTGGTATGGTGTGAGTGGATGGACGTTCTTACTGGGGTCCTGCATGAGTCCAGCAGCGAAGTCGACCTTGATCTTGCCGTTGACAAACACCTGCAGATTGCCGTGCGGCGACACCTGGACCTGCACACATACACACACACGCACAACCAAAGGTGTGTGCAGCAGTGCAGTGCAGAACTCCAGAGCTCTCCTGACTGAGGCGAACGTAGCGTACCAGGACTTGGTCGTCTGATCTGAGTGTGCCGGGGTCCCACCCAGACATGGTGGCATCGTCACCCACATGAACCCAGCCTGCACGACGATCGATACGATGACACACACACACACACACACACACACACATCAGTAGTAGGTATGGATGCATCATGTGCATCAACGAGCCTGCATGGCATTCAAGCCGTCCACGTTGCCCCTCAGTCAGTCTCACCTGCTGCATCGACGCGCCAGCTCCGCGACTCGATCCAATCAGCCAAGTCCACCCGAGTCTCGCTGGTTCACCCACAGCGGACACACACACAACCCCGTGAGCGATTTCTGTCCTCGACGTGTGTTCTGTGGGCCGTCTCGCGTACGAGTAGTGCGGTGCCGCCTCCGACACGCCCACTTCGAGCCCCGACACGCCCCCGTCGATGTCGACCACACGGAAGCTGAATCGAGGCGTCTCGCCGGGGAACAGCTTCAGCGGCTGCTCGATGAACACCACCGTGTCCCCGAGCTCAACGTCAGCCGGGCTCCTGCCCCGCACAGCCACAGCCCCACCTGCACACACACACATCCATCCATCCATCCAGTCCCCTTCACTGTTGTCTGACCGGCTCGGAGCTCGATGGCCTCTCCCTTGCCGTTGGAGCTGTTGGTGAAGGTTCGCCCGAACTGCCCGTAGTCATATGGCGCGTGGTGGCCCGATGCGCCGCGCCGATAGCCGACAGCCGGCGGGTCTGCCGGGGAAGATGCAGCCCCAGCAGCAGCCGCAGCCGGAGGGGCGGAGGGCGAAATGGGAGGCGACACCTACAGATCATGTGTACGCCATCGATCACCTTAAGTGTGCTCAACTACGATGGGTGGCACGGCACCTACCCTATGTGCGGGTCTGTAGTCTTCCTCGTGGCGTCGTCTGGTCGACGCCGGGCGGCGCATCAGCTCGTCGATGGTCCGCCTGCGAGCCAACCACACCCACACAGGGGGACGAATGGATACGCCCATACTCCTTGCTTCCTCATCTGACGTGAGCACCTGAGGCTGTGGTTGGGAATGAGTGTGGTGGATGGGAGGGGCAGGCCGGTCACCGGGGACGTCACGTGACCCTGGTCAAACCTGAAAACACACGTGCACCACACACACGAGCACACACAGCCACAAGAAAGAAAAAGGTTGAAGCCAGAAACAAACCACAGACAGACAGACAAGCGGGACCCACCACTGAGTGATGTTTGAGCGCTCGTAGGAGTGTCCATCCACAGTCACCACAGGGTCCTGCGCGTGACGCAAACAGACAGACAGACAGACAGACAACACATGCAACGCGAAATGAGAGGCCTGTGTTGCCCAATGCACCATCAGCAACCCCCTCAGCTCCTGTCTGTGCTGTGCTGACTGACCTCCATGACTGATCCGCTCACAGGGCAGGTGCAGTGGCAGAGAGTCCTGTCAAGCACCTCACGCGAGATGCCGCCTGGCTCCCCGCCGCCGCCCAGCTGAGGAGGGGCCACACGGCTGAGTTGGGTGAAGTCGCTGGGCATATCGCTGGGTGGGGGAGCGATGCCCTCGTCGTTGAGCTCTGAGTAGCCACGCCACATCCGTCAAATCAAATCGTTTGGTTCGAAATCGATTTCGCGAATGGCGAGCTATGCGAAGCCTGGATGGATCGCCATGAGAGGCTTTGAATGAGGCACTCGCTCCAGGAGGACATGAATTCGACCCTGTTGCCATTACTGAGAAAACCGACTCATCACTCACTGGATGTTTGTGTCTGACATGCAGCCCACGTACGCTGTGACAGCCCCACTCACTCCACACCAACTGCACACTGCAAGCACGTTGAGGCAAAAAGGCCTCATGCATTGACCACATACCCCGCCAGCACACGGCACAAAGCCACGTCACCTGTCCCAGCCAACGTCATACTGACTGGGCCGTCATGTGCCGTCAGACCACGGGACAGCACCTGAGGCCACAGGCGTGATGTATCCGTGCTGCATCCACAGACCACCATAAGCACACACACACACATACATACACACACACACGGCTCGCGTGAGTGTCTCTCTCAAACAACGAGAGCACCCTTCACGCGCCACGCATCCTTCAACAGTAGCAGATTCATCCGTCCGTCCGTCCGTCCGTCTGTCCGTCCATCGACAGGGAGAGAGGGAGGGGGAGGGCAATCGTGAGCGTGACTTACGTGACCGGCCTGCAAAAAGGAGGCCGATCAGCCCAGCCAGCCACCTAGGAAGGACCTGCCTGAAAACCTCTCGGCAGATGATAGCTTGGGGGATAGATAAAGACAACAGACAGACAGACACATAGCTAGCTAGAACCGACGAGAGAGACCACACCACGGACAGGCAGGCAGGCAGGCAGGCAATTCACTTATATCACCCCTCGGGACACTCGTCCATGTGGGGTGAGTGATGTCTATGCTGCATAAAACAAGCAAAGCGTGCATAAAAAGATACACGCCCGTGCAGCGCAGCAGAAGACAAGACATCCATCCATCCATCGCCACCAACACAACACGACGCGACACGACACAACACAGCACAACACCTTCTCAATAATCACACCTGCACCGCCGTGTGTTCCGAGTCGGGTGGTGTGTGTCCCGGCGGTGTGGCCTTCAGAGGCGCCTCCGTCATCTCGCTCTCACTCCCCTTCAGGTTCGCCAACTTGGCGGGCGTCGCCTCGTGGCTGCTCACCTCACTCTCCTGACACACACACCACATCACACCACACACATGGATGGCTGGATGGATGGATGGCTGATGGGGAGCCGACTACGGACCGAGGCGTTGTCGTCTTCCTCCATCAGCCTGTCGTTCTCGTAGTCCTCATCGCTTTTGGGCAGGATCACGTTGAGCGTCGCCGCGATGATGAGCGTCAGGCACAGCTCGTTGGAGATGAGCAGGTAGGCCGCGCGCCAGAAGGTCAAAGCCAAGCTCGACAGCTCGCGCTCGACACACACGGGCTCGCCTGCACACGCACGATAGATGTGAAGGACGGACCGGTGCAATGTGATTCTGGCGTGGTGGGTTTGGGCTGCCTACCGTCTGCATCTTTGAAGCGCCTGTATCTGACGGCGATGTCAAGCCCGCTGATGGCTGTCATGTCATAGTCTCCAGTGTCCGCCCCGGGGCAGTTCCATGCCGCCTACACACACAAACCAACCACAACAACCATGAGATCTGTCTGTCCGTGTCTGTCCGTGTGTGTCCGTGTGTGTGCGTGTTGTGTGTGTGTGTGTGTGTGTGTCTGACCCGCGAGTTGGGGTGGCTGGAGTGTGCGAATTTGATGCCGGCAGATATGCCCACGCAGCACGCCAGAGTCATCATCTTACGGGGCGTGAATCCCCCTTTCGACACTATCGCCAAACCTGTTTACCATATGAACGAAACGAGTCACAACAGCCAGCCGATCCACCCACCCTTGGCCTGCCTGCCTGCCGACGTGTGTGTCGTGCGAGGCATACCGTACCGGCGTTCATGACAAGGCCGAAGCAGACCGTTACAGCAGCACCCAGTACTGGCCAGGGCATCAGTGCGACCGCTTTGGAGAAATTCCCAAACAGGCCGAGGAACATCAGAATGACACCACAGGCATACCTGAGGACAGACAGACAAGAGAGACAGGGGCACACACACAGACAGACAGAGAGAGTAAAGGAGGCGTGTGTCTGTCTGTCTGTCTCACCCTGCCCTCCTCGAGGCGACTCCCGTCATGGCAATGACGCCGTTGTTCTGCCCGCCATCACCTCACACAACACACACTCAATGAATGACAGGCCTGCAGTGACTGACACCAAGACAAGACACACACACACACACACGTACTGTACCTGTGAGAATGTCGTGTTAGGGAAAGCTGTGAAGATGCTGGCAAACATCGAGGCCAGCCCGTCGCTGAGCAGACCCCCCTGCACGCGTCGGTTGAACTCGGGCCCGGCCGTGGGCAGCCTGCTGTACTTTGACGTGGCAGAGATGTCGCCGATGGACTCGACGGCCGACACCACATACGCCACCAGGAAGGGCAGGAAGAGGCCCCAGTCCCACGCCCAGCCATACTTGAAGGGAATCGGATCTGAGTGAGAACACACACACACAGATGGTCCCTCCCGTGATAATGGGTGGGTCGATGGGCGCAGGTTTGTTTGTATCCCCCCCCCCCC